TACCTGTATCAGCTAGCAAGATGAAATATACCTGTATCAGCTAGCAAGATGAAATGTACCTGTATCAGCTAGCAAGATGAAATATACCTGTATCAGCTAGCAAGATGAAACCTAACATGTTAAGCATACTTGAGCCGAACTGTATAAAACAATTAGCACTTGTTGGCATTCCAGCTGGGTGATATGGGTGGGCTTTTTACAAGTATGGACTTATTGAATATGGCAAGTATGGTAACATGAAAACATACATAACATTGTTGCACAGCTAAAGTAAGGAGTCTTAAAAATTTCTCACTCAAATTCATGATATATCTCCCTACATATCCATATGAGCCATATGCATAATAACTGTGAGTATTTTATCAAAATATGTATCATATCCTTAGTATGACATACTATTTACACCTCTACCCAATTACCTCTGTGACCTCACAGGATCTCTAGAAGATGAGGTCTGTATTTCGACAGGTAATCAATCACTATTTCTTACTGGATCTCTAGCGGGTGGGGTCTATATTAAGACAGGAAATCAATCGCAAGTACTTACAAGCCCTATAACCATGGATGATAATTTGTGAACCGCTTGGAGACGACCTACGAGCGAGGTTGTGATAAAGCGGTATATAAGAACCTCAAATTATTATTACTATTATTACAGGATCTCTAGAGAATGGCCCGGGGTCTATATTTAGGACAGGTAGTCAATCACAAGTACTTACGGAATCTCTAAAGGGTGGGGTCTATATTTAGACAGGTAATCAATCCCAAGTACTTACGGGATCTCTAGAGGGTGGGGTCTATATTTAGACAGGTAATCAATCACTGTCTGTGGTATTCGCTGGTCTTCCACATGCAGATATCGGACTAGGTCTGGCCCATGGTATTGCACAGCCTGCCCTAGGAGATTGGTATCCATCTTGATGAAGCATGAAGAAAAGTTTTAGTAATTAAAAATTAGAAGATTATTTTGTTTTTAGGTAAATTACGAACAACACCTGATTTTTTTCTTTCTAGCAAAATGAACATGAAATGTTCTTCTTTTAGTAATGTAGTGTATCAGACCCTTAGAAAAATATTTGCATTAAAATGAGGGTTAAATTAATATACTTTAAAAGTCTTTCTGGGCACTGGTTAATATATAAATTTAAATAGTGGTTGGAATTTTTAACATCGTTGGTAGAGATTGATTTGCGAAGTGAACTTGTGGGTTCCTATAGGGTTAATGTTAACAAATTTTAAATGAGTTAATTATGTTTACCAAGTCTCATATAATCTTTCTCATACATTTTGATGTATCATTTTTTATGTGTTCCATCCTTTACATGTTAATAGTCTAACCATAATGACTTGATGGTACTGTTTGTGTTAGCGTTATTGAAGAAGCCTTTTCAATTCATGACTTGGTACTATGCCGGTAATACAGTAATTATATTGTTATAGAAAATATGATTATTAATGTAGCGGAATTGGTCTGGATCGAATAACCAGTGACCACAGGGGCACGTTACAAATGTCTGAAATACACACATATGCTATTCTGATATGGGTCACAACACACATAAACATGTACGTTTATGTGTGTTGTGACCCATATCAGTATAGCATATGTGTGTATTTCAGACATTTGTAACGTGCCCCTGTGCAGTGACCATGTTGAGTAACTAAATTGGTAGAGTGTCCGTCTACAGTTCGGAGGTCCTGGTCTTGATTTTCATGGTCTACCATATTTGCAAGATTAACATAATAAAATTAACTACACTGACAACTGCTGCGGGAACCCGATTTGTGTACGTTTAGTCAGCTTACTTTACTAGAGCAATCACGCTTCCGTTCTAACAACAAACCACCACAGTGCGAAAAGGTTAGAATATGCGTGCCGAATTAATAAGAATGGGACGAGTTGACCATACATGTATTATATGCTT